GGATCGTGACGTCATAAAACACGTTTCAAACAAAGGCTAAAGGAGTACTTAGAGCTTTGTCAGATTTTTTGGATATACATTGTACATACATAATTTATTTTTTTACTTTGTAAGAGATAGAGTAGATAGAGAGCCAGTGATCAGTTACATAGTTTTAATTATAGTTTTCTATGTAAAGGATATTGTGATACTAACGATTGCGTTTGTGTATTAAGTCTTGGACTTATGATAATCGTATTTGAATTTGTAATTTTATAATATGAATAATCTGAAATACCTAAAATACGATAATAATAATTCTAATTTTGTTTACTTTTCCTTTAATTATAAATAGGTGTAAAATAAAAAATGATGTGAAACATTTAATGTGCCATTGTACTTGTAATTTGATGTTAAATAAATTTTTGTTTTGAAAATATCCATGTCTCCATTTCCATCCAGTAGGTAAAATTTTTATCAAGTTAACGCATTGGCGGAACCAGAATAATATAAAAAATCATGTTTGACCATAGACGAAAATATTTTTTTAATGTTGTTACCATAGCAACAGAATAACAAACAACGCTCGAGCTGCGGTGACAATAAAATATTTATAATGTTTAGAAAGGTAAAATATCGATTGAATGTGTAAATTAGTAATTCTTCGAGGATTGTGATAATTTAATGGCGGAGCTGCATTTGTTAGGTGATATACAGGGTGTTACAAATTTTGAAGATTGCTCTTCATTGTTTTGTAGATTTTCGTTTCAAGCTGGTACGTATAACATTTGTACATTATTGTCAACTTTTTAAATTTTTATTTATTAATAATGTAATGTATAACGCCTAAGGTCCGAACTGGACGTTAATCGCCGGATGTTCGGAGGGTCAAACCACTTCAGGGAAGCCGAATCATGATAATTACGTTTTTTGGTCTCATCCTATCGACGTTCACTACGCAACTAAAGGAATCTCAGGTATCATATTTTAATTAACTGTATAATCTGCCATACTCAGAGATGGTAGTTGGTCGTAATCCAAACTAAGGTACTTCCTTATTGGCCTATGACCCTGAATGCATGTAGTAATTTTTTTACCTTAGATTGGTTTATTTCTTTAGGTTGGCCAAAAATTAATTTTCAAGTGAGTTGTTTGGATTCTTTGGGACGTTCTTGGATAGTTGGATACGGATGTTGCAGTATACCGACTGCTCCAGGGAATTATGCAGTAAAGGTGCCGTGCTGGTCGCCTGCACCTACCACCATCACTGACAGACTTCGACAGTATTTCCTCGGAGGATCACATCAAATCACACAAACTGATGTCATTAGTTTAGGAGTCGATAGGTACGTGTTTCATATACATTTTTTAATATCGTCACTTATTGTTTTCCCATAATTTTTTTTAATCCCCAGGTATAAGTTAACTACTCAATCAAAAGGCAATATAGAATTAAATATAGACATTATATTTAGAAATTTCACACAATTCGGTGTAGAATATAAGTAAAAAATGAGACCACTGACATATTTCGCATTTACACTGTTATCAGTTGTGATACAATTCTGTGTAATGGATTTTATACAAGAAAAGGCTGAGCTTGATGAAAAAACAATTGCCTACAATGAAAGCATAAACAAGCCAAATACTCTTGCGTTATACTATCGCTCGAGTAGAAACGGTTATGAGAAGATAAAAGAATTGTCTGGAATAAAATATCCGAATTTGTCTCTGCATAATGTTTCAGTATCGACAAGTACAGAGCTTGCGTTCACAATTTTTGACGTATTGTACGACGAGAATGTATCTACAACAGATATCACTTTCACAACTGAATTTATCTCAAGCACCGAATTAGACAATGTTACTGAAATAACATTATTTGAACAGACTTCGACTACCACTAGACCTGCTTTAGATACAAAGAAAGCTACACCTGGAAATGTTTGTTACTGTGATCTGTTGGTAAGTATAAATTTGAAGCCTCTCACACCTTTTTAAAAGATCTATCAATTTTATTTATGACTAGCTTTCGCCCGCGACTCCGTCCGCGTGCCATTGAAAAAAACAAAAGTAGATAGCTTATGTGTTCTTCCAGAGTATCCTCTACATCTATGCTAAATTTCATCGAAATTCGTTCAGCCGTTTAGGCTACAAAATCTAACAAACATTCATCCATCCATCCATCCATCTAAACTTTCACATTTATAATATTAGTAGGTACTTCTTACTAATATTATAAATGTGAAAGGAGGAGGAGGAGGATTAGTAAGATTAGTCTTTTGTTACTGTTTAACGTCATTTGGTTTTAAACGTTATTAATTGAATTGTCGGGCGTTTTAGTTGAATATGAGCAGACTGAAAACCAGAGCATGTCCGAGGTCAATAAACTATACTTTAAAAATCCTATTTTTACAGTATAAACAATGTGATATCAACTGTTGCTGTGATGAAGAATGTTCACAAAGAGATAAAGAATTGTTTGAAAAATGTAAAAACTTCCAACAAAAGAAATATCATCCTTTAGCATGCGGCGCAAGTTCTACTATTTCTGGATTCGGAAATTTACTTTGTATTGCCAAAACAAACTTGCCCGACCATAGAGTTGCTGTAAATCAAAAGGTATTTTAGGATCATGGATTTTTTGTTATTTTTTAAATTTCAGTAAAAATAAACCATTTAATGCGTCAAAGGTTCGAGTGCTTCGACTTTTCCACTCTTTTATATTCGAGCTTATGACCAATACAAATTATATTAATTTTATATTTCAGATAAATAAAGCGATACATGATGTGTTTTTGTGGCATGAGAATCACAAACAAGCACAGTCATATAGTTTTAACAGAAACATTTACAAATTCGGTGAACCAGTTTGGATACTAAGAAACAAATTAATTTATTATTTAGGTATGTGAACGAGTTTTTTGCGAATAGGACTGTCTGTTTTAAACCACTATTTAAGAATATTTCTTTTACAGATTTACCCATCTCTGTTATAAATAACTACTGCAGTGTAAGACGTAAAATAAAATTTTTAAGTAATGAGAAGATTAATTGTCGAGTAAAATTAAATGATTTGGAAATGTTTCGTGTACTCAACATAGCGGAACACTCTACTGTAATCACTGTAACTAAAGAATCGTTGAACAATACAGCTTTGGTATGATTTTAAATATTCGATTATTTTTAAATTTGACACAAAACTTATATGAAACATTATTTTTCAGAATTGTTCTTCACTTCATTGCACAAACTGGACGATAATTTACTGTAATCGAGATATTTGTGTGCCTTATAATAAGAGTTTGCACTCACCAGTATGTACAGAGAGTGAGTGTAAAAATATTGCACTTAAAATAGAATACATTTTTAACATTTACGAATCGACAATCGTCAATGTCACAATCAAATTATACGCTCAACAAATAGCAGCAATACAATACGTGATGCAAGAAGTTGTCGTTAATTTTTTCATTGGCAATGCTTCGACGGAAAATGTTGTAGCTTTAAGTGGAAATCCCGGTTATATTATTGGGTTACCCCTAATCACATCGTATATTGAAGCAAATCATACCTACAATTTCTTTAATAGTAATGACCAGAACAACTATATATCATATGCGGAGAATAAAGGTGGTTTCTGCGTGCTCACAGAGTTAATCAAGAAACATATACAGTTTGGCATTAACAAGAGATCGAAATGCAGAGTTACATTACGTCCACCTTCTACAACAAATGGTACAGAAGCGTGTATTAATATACAGAAAGATATTAACAAAATTGCAGGCGTTGATCGTGGAATGTTCATTTCACCGTATGGCAACCCTACTAATTTAAACGATGACGATTGGTTGCCAGTGACATTTGAGTCAAGGTATATTTATGGTGAATTTAAATCCAAAAGATCTAGATTACAATGTCTTAATATAAATACGAGATTCGCATTTGTGTTTACGTATGCTGATTTAAGTGATGTAGGTACGGAGAATAGGTTGTTGTCGGTCAACATGGATGGGTCGGTAACCAATGTGACATTCGAGTCTGAGGAATACACAACTGTGATTACTGTCGATATTAACTTTATAAATATGAAGTCCGCGAGTCGGCATCACGTCGCCGGACCTCCGCATTTGAATCTCAATCTCCCAAGAGACTTTTTCTTCCCATTCCCTTCGAATCTATGCTCTATTTCTAAATGTAACATGTATGTAGTAATGTACTCTTTAGTCGCTGCTGTTTGTTTTAAATAAAATAACTTTGAATGTTAACTAATAATTTTTATTTTGAAATAATTTATTTACTTTTGTTACTTCTATCACTTTAACTTGGCATCCACACGTCGTGGACAAACGAGTCTCGCCACTGACGGCCTGAAAATAAAACCCATTTTAGGTCGAGTGTCTAAATTCAAGAGAGAGGGTACTTGTATCGGTGTAATAAAACAGTGTGTTACAAAAGAGAAATATTTAATCCATTGTAACTATTCTAAGATATTACGAGGAACACTTTTATGATACATTGAAACGATGAGACTAAAGCCACATTCAAAATTAATATATATATATATATACACATTTATTTTTACAATCTTTTTTAGTCTGTACTTTATTACTATTTAAAACAAACTTCTTAAGGAAAAGAAACTTCAGGCAGAGAAGTGAAGCGATGAATCGAGTGTGTGTCGGGGCTGACGCACGCGGCCGTAGCGGCGGTTTTAACAGCTGTATGATTTAGACAAGAGATTGTAAGTCGCGTAGTCGCCGCACCCTCAGGTGGAGGTGGAGGTGGGGAGGTGAGGAATGCGCACCTATGCGACGTATGTGTAGACCTTGCGGTCGTCGGGCGTGCGCGCCAGGTACTCGCGCTCGATGAGCCCCTCGATACGTTTCTTGATGACGACGGGCGAGGGCAGGAAGCGCGCGCGCAGCTGCTCCGTCACCTCCGCCACCAGCAGCGTGTGCTGCACATACAACATAACACAACAAATTGTTTAAATATTCCATAGCGATAAGATATAATGTTCAAAGTGTGTTGTCGCACCGCCATCCTCTTGCGCGCCTTCATGATGCGCACGATGGCGGCCTCGATCTCGTGCTTGCGGTCCTCGTCCACCTTGTTGCGCGTCTCGCGCCGCTCCGGCTCCGACTCGCCCTTCGCCGCCACCGTTTGGATTTTAACTCTGGAATACACAAAATAAGATGTTACAATTGCAATTCAAACATAAGTACACAACTCCAAAGAAAGTAGGTAACAATATCAAGATGTTTTGTGTAACGACCTGTGCAACTTGGAGGTGAATGCGTCGTTGACGTAGAACTGGTGCGCGGCCTCGATCTCCTTGGTCTTCGGGTGCTTGATGAGCACTCGCTGCGTGGGCTTGCCCATCGCCAGCGACTGCAGCGCGCGCACCAGGTCCTTCTCCGGAATGTCAGTCTCATTTATAATTTCCTATAAGAAATAAAATAATATGTACAGTTTAAAAAGAAATGTAAAAGGTTTATAACCAGCGAACTGTCGATCGCAAACTTCGTTAAAACGGATTTAAAGAAAAAAAAAGTCTTCTATCACATTCCCGCGTGCATCTACCTTCAACCAGCTATCTTTCAGTCAAAATCCCGTCCAAATTGGTCTACCTGTTCCAGAGACAGTGGTCCGGTCGCCATTTTGACAACGCGAAATTAAAAAAGCCTATAATATGCCCGTCTATGTCAGCTACCCCTCCAGTGAAAGTCCGGTCGCAATCGGCTCAGCCGTTTCGGAGATTACCCGGAATAAACGTATTTGCGGACAGATAGACAAACAGACAAAAAAATTAAATGAGATTTTGGTTATCAGTAACGAAAATACATCATCTTCCCGAAATCTGGAATTTCTCATTTGATATTACAAACAGACACTCCAATTTTATTAGATGTATAGATTGTGTAATGATAAACTCGGTGGTTACCTCGTAAGTGAGTCTCTCGCGCTTGTTGAAGAGCAGCAGCACGCACATCTGGAAGGTGGAGACCTGTATGATGTGCTTGCGGGGCGCGGCGGGCGCGGCGGGCGGGGCGGGCGGGGCGGCGGAGGGCGGAGCGGCGGGCGGCGAGTGCGGCGGCGAGCCCCCGCCCCCCGGCAGCGCGGCGCCGCTCCCCGCGCAAGCGCTCGCGCCGCTCGCCCCGCTCGTCGCGCGGAACGTCGCGTGCAGGTCGGCGCTGCCCAGCTGCGGCTGCAGCGACAGCTGCCGCCCGGAGTGCTTCGCCAGGTAGAAGCTGCAAACGAACACGATACAGCTTAGCCAACGGTAATGGCGCTGTCTCGTTGCTCCTTAGTTTACTCTACATCCCGCTCGAGGGACCGGTTCGAATTTATTCTAAATTAATAGTGAAAATCGCATTAAAAATTTTAAGTTATCAAAAGCCAACGGCGTTATTAACCTTCTAAAAACTTCGAATGCGTTTCTAGGAGCGGGGGGTATATTGCACTTGGGCGTGGCGCTCTGCGTGGGCCAGAAGCCGGTCGTCAGCACGCGCACCGACAGGTCCACGCCGTGGAGGTTCATCTGCGACACGAATAAAGACGCAATATTACAAAATTGTCACTATCACGTGATTGTGCTAGAAAGCAAGATGAAATCGTATTTACCCCAGTAGAGAGCACATGGTCCTTGAACTCTTCCATAATAGTGTTTGACACAGTCATGTCTTTGAACATTCCTTCCAACTTTGATGTAAACTGGCAACCACATTCAGTCTGGAAATAAAAGATAAATAAATAAAAAGCGCAGACATAAGGTTACATACAAGAATACTATTATTAATTAAATCTCCTAACACATGGATAATGATGTTACAATTAAAACTAATGCAACAAAAGTCTGTGCCACACTAAATTCAAAATCTACGCCAAAACTACTTTCGAAACGTACACAGGTAGATTATCCTGCTTAAAGTCTTTCAAAATTAGAAAATTTGTCTGCAAAATTCTTTACAAAATATGAATTTAACACATTGCTTTCCAAATAGACTTTAAGCAAGATATATTTACATTTACGAAGATTCAACTTTACAATCGAGGCACTTACGAAGATGCAAGTTAGGGTATTGTAAAGAATTTTGCAGAAGTATGTGGAAGTGTGAAGGGGAGGGTGCGGGCGGCGCTGGGTGTCTGCGCTAGTGCGGCTAGTGCTAGTGCGCGAAGTGCGACACTTCGCCCACCACACAGTGGAACGCACGCGGCTCCATTTCAATCAACAAACCTTCTCTCTGGGAAATTTCATTTTATACTTCACCCAATTTACTATCTCCCTTGAATAATCAACCTTTTTTAGATGTCAAGTCAAAAAAAATATACTTTTCTTTTAAAACTATGAATGAGGATTTGTGTATATTCCTTAAGAATTATTAATTTTAATAGTATTTTAACATACATCTCTAACCATAATGACTTGCACACGAAAGACAGATAAATGTATAACCGAGGTCATAACAATAACATTAAAAGTGACGTCGATTACCCACTTAGATTAGGCAATTAAGAAACGATAGTTTTGCTTCGTTCCGACTTAAACGCCCTTTTTTAAGAAAGTCTATCTGTATTATTCGAATCTCCGCAACACAAGGTGGACAAAATAATTCAAATTGGCACAAAGTAGTGTTTTATAGCCTTCCATTGATAGTATAGTGTAACAAAGATGGCGCGGTGTGGTGTACCTTCAGTTTGGAGATCATATTCTTCTCGCTGTCGTCGGAGACGGACTTGTTGAGCAGCAGGCGCTTGGCGAGGTGCTGCTTGTAGTAGCGCTCGAACACGTCCTTCTCCTGAAGGAAGCGGAACAACACCATCGTCTTGTCCAGCACCGCCTCTATCTCTTGCTCGCTCATCTGAACAACACATGCAATATTAAATCAACAAAACAGCACTTAAATTAAAAAGTATGTAATACTATGTAACTGACACTTACCCCTTTTTCACCTTTCTTCAATTTGCCGTCAATAAACAGCGAAAGGAATTCCGGGGACTTATTGTTCAAGTTGAGGAAATATTCAAAGTCTGCGGCGATCATGTGCTTGAATAGCTTGTCGTTGTTGAAAGAGTTGTGCAGGAAGTGGTCGAACCTGTCCTTCAGGTCCAATAGATTCTGAAATTTTACATTCTCTG